TCCTGCCTGTACCTTTTCCAAGACAAGATTTATTTGTTCTTCTGACAGTCCATGGTATAGTATATTCAATATTCTTTGTCAGCACCATAATTCAAAGGCATTAGTACATTGTCTTTTGATTTCTTGACTGCTGCTGCTACCATGAATGTTGATTGTGGATCCAGGTACAATGAAATTTTGGGTAACAATTTTTTCTATTTGCCATGAAGCTATTGGTCCAGTTGTGAGGATTTTTGTTTTCTTTACATGGAGTTATAATTCATACTGGAAATTACAGTCTTTCATTTTAATTTCATCAGCAAATGCTTCAAGTCTTTTTCACTTTCAGCAAGCAAGGTTGTGTCGTGTGCTGCAGGTTAATAAGCCTTCCTCCAATCCTGATGCCATGTTCTTCTGACAGTCCAGCCTTGTGGATTGTATGCTCATCACCAAGTAAGTACAGTGAAAGGATGTAATCCTAAGGCACACTTTTCTGATTTTCCTCCACTCAGCATCCCACTGTTCTGAATGTCTATGTACAGGTTCCACAAGAGCACAATTATGTGTTCTGGAATTCCATTCTTTGAAATGTTATCTGCAGTTTGCTATGATTTATGCAGTGGAATGCCTTTCCATAGTCAACAAATATATTTCTGGTACTCTTGGTTTTCAGCCAAGATCCATCTGATGTCAGTAGTGATGACCTTTATTCCACATCCTCTTCTAACTCCCGCTTGAATTTCTGACAGCTCTCTGTGCAACTATTTTTGAACTATCTTCAGCAGAATTTCTATGTGCTATCAATTATGTTGTTTGAAGTTTTCCATACTCTGCTGGGTCACCTTCCTTTGGAACGGGCACAAATATGGATCTCTTTCTGTCAGTTAACCAGGTAGCAGTCTTCCAAATTTCTTGGCATAGGCTAATGAGGGCTGCATTAGTTTGGTTTTAAAAGCCAAACATCTAAAATCTATATGAAGGCATCATATATGAATAACTCTAATATTTATGATTCTTTAAAAGGTAGGAGAAATTTATTATTTTTTCTCTTTTAAGTCATAAAATGTAAACACAATCTCATTTTTAAAGAGTCCGATAATCCAGCAGGATAGGAATGTTCCATTCCCCTCAATGCTTTGTGGCCATCTTTAGACTCCTCCACGGAGGTCACCACAGAAAACGGTTTGGTAAGCATGCTTTTGAGCACCGATAGTGCAATGGTTGAGCACTCAGCTGCTAATATCAAAGACAGTGGTGAGAGCCCTCCAGCAGTCCGTGGGAGAAAAGACATGTCTATCTGTTCCTGTAAAGATTATTGCCTACAGTGGCTACAAAGCAGAACCGACGCAAGCCATGCAGCAGTATCAGTATGAAATTACACAGATACATAGATCTTTAACAAAATGCAAACGCCAAAAGGACAGAGGATACAACCCAAATACGCATTAACTCAAGAATGCAACTCTATTTACTAATAAAAAGGGATGAAATATGAAGTCATGCTACATTAAGTGAAAGAAACCGCATGCCAAGGACGGCATATTCTATTTACATATCTTGGAAAGGCAAGCCAACAGAGGAAAGTAGATTTGTGGTCACTTTGGGGGTAGCAGAGAGATGAGAAATTGACTGCAATGCAAATAGGCACAGAAAATCTTTTGGGGATAGTAAAATTTTCTAAAATAGGATTATGGTGATGGTTGTACAACTTGTAAATTTACTAGAGATCACTGAATTGTACATTTAAAATGGGTGAGTTTTATGATCTATCTATAATTTATACCTCCAAAAATTTAAAAAAAAAAAAA